TGGAAAGCGTGGTTGGACTTGATATTCACATTCCGGGTCAAGAGGTTTGAGTGTATGTTCAGAAGTAAAAAACAAAATGGTGTGGAAAGATTAATGTGATCTCTCATTGTATGCGGACCCTTTTAGATGTATTCATTCATGGAGAGAGTCTATGACTTTTTTGACAGAGAAGATCCGTCGGCTTCTATCAAAATTAATTTCCCTTCTATGAGATTTTATAAGAAACGAAGAATATATGTTTTGTGAAAGAATTATTTTAATTTAATATTTAAGTTATTGAATGAAATTTTAATATATAATTGAAAGCTTTTCAGTTTTGAAATTTATGTATTTTTATATTATTTTGTGTTTAATATTTACCAAATAAATATGAATAATAAAATTAAAACTTGTGATCATTTGATTATTAAAATCTTAATATTATATAAAAAATGAATAATAAAATTTCTGATAGTTTAATTATTAAAATCTTAATATTATATAAAAAATTATCTCAACTTAATAACTACTTGAATTATTTGGTAATATTTTAAAATATAATTTATATTATTAATTCAATAACTATTTAAATTATTAGATAATATTTCAAAATATAATTTATATTATTCTATTTAGATATAAATAATCCTAATTAATATAAAAGTGCTAATTCAAGACCTGTGAGCTTCTTAGGCTTGCAATTATGTTGTATAGAGGGGTGGTAGATTCAACATTAATTTGTGAATTACCATTTTTATGCCGAAATGTGGAAGAGTGCTTCCAAAAATTCCAGTGTCTAAAATATATATATATATATATATATAAATCAAGTATGACTCAAATACATATTGTATATAGAAAGCTTAGAACATTAAAGGCACTGTCCAAGTTCAACTCCCTTCCGAAGCTACAGTACTTAAGAAATCCAAGACAAGATTTTAAGCAAGAAAATTAACAACACATGCAGATGGCATCTAGAAAAAAGGAGAGGACAAGTCGTCGGGGACGGTAGGTTTGGATTCCCCATTTTCCCCGCTGTTTTTTGTCGACTTCATGATGTCTTTTATAGCAACTTCCGAACTACCAAATTAGACCCCAAAAAGGATTCCAATTCCTATGGTATTTTCAAGCATCGCATTGGACAAATAGAAACGTTTCGAAATGCTTTCTTGACCTATGACATCAATTCTTCGAGAATAAAGAGATACCCATCTTCTGTCTCTCCCTTCGCCATTGGCACGAGAAACTGAAAAAAAAAAAAAAATATCCTATCTCTTATCCCTCTAGTCTTTGGTCCTATTCACTTGTAATGACACATTGGAATATTACCACATGATTTATTACAATGCCCGTTTCTTGCATAAAAACTCAACCATGACCATCTTCTCTTGCTTGTCCTAAACTTGTTCATCTTGCCTTAATATTCCTTTTCCTTAGTTCTCTCTTACACTGATGGAAGATCAAGAGGAACTTTTGAATCTTAGCCTAGCAATTGTTACAGACTCCAATGGCGACATGAAAAGGAAGAGAAAGAGATCAAGGGCGGATGTTTCCAATCCTTTGATGAATACTTATGAGGGTTGTACTGAAGGGAAGATATTTAGGCTACTCCAAATGAGGGAACTAATGCTAAAACTAGACCATAAGAGGAAAGGAGCTGTTGAAGAAAATGGCAAAGGGCTTCACTTGATTCACTTGCTTCTTATAGCTGCCACAGCACTTGACAAGAATAATGTAGGCTCAGCCTTGGAGAATCTAACAGAATTGTATCAAAGTGTCTCCTTATCCGGTGATTCGGTGCAAAGGGTCGTTGCTTATTTTTCTGATGGATTGGCAGCAAGGCTCCTCAGCAAGAAATCTCCCTTCTATGATATGATCATGAAGAAACCAACATGTGAAGAAGAGTTCTTGGCGTTCACAGATCTTTACAGGGTGTCTCCTTATTACCAGTTTGCTCATTTCACTGCAAACCAGGCAATCCTTGAGGCATATGAGAAGGAAGAAGAGAATAACAACAGTGCATTGCATGTTATTGATTTTGACGTCTCCTATGGCTTTCAATGGCCTTCTTTAATACAGTCTCTCTCCGAAAAGGCAAGCAGTGGCAACCGAATTTCTCTGCGAATAACCGGATTCGGCAGAGGTATAGAAGAATTGCAAGAAACTGAGAGTAGATTAGTTAGCTTTGCGAAAGGGTTTCGCAATCTAGTCTTTGAGTTTCAAGGGTTGTTAAGAGGGTCTAAGCTCATCAACCTAAGGAAAAAGAAAAATGAAACAGTTGCTGTGAATCTAGTCTTTCATCTGAATACTCTGAACGATTCTTTGAAGATATCCGACACATTGAAATCAGTACATTCACTTAACCCCTCCATTGTTGTCTTGGTGGAGCAAGAAGGTAGCAGAAGCCCAAGAAGCTTTTTGTCAAGATTCATGGAGTCTTTGCACTATTTTGCAGCAATGTTTGATTCTTTAGATGATTGTCTTCCTCTAGAAAGCCCAGAGAGATTAAGCATTGAGAAGAATCATCTTGGAAAAGATATCAAAAGGATGCTCAACTGCGACAAAGATGATGCAAACTGTCCAATATATGACAAGATGGAAACATGGAAAGGAAGGATGGAGGGCCATGGATTTGCAGGCATTAAACTCAGCTCCAAGTCCTTGATACAAGCCAAGCTTCTTTTGAAAATTAGAACTCATTATTGTCCTCTTCAATTTGATGGAGATTTTTGTGGTGGGTTTAAAGTTTTTGAAAGAGATGATGGGAAAGGCATTTCTTTAGGGTGGCAAGATAGGTATTTAATTACCGCCTCTGCATGGCATATTTGTGCATGATAGTTACTTTGTTGTTCCCATTTCTAGCTAACATATTCATGATTTTTGTAACTCGAATCAAATAAGAGCTCTTAGTTTTGACATGATCATGTTGTAATTTGTGCTAATTAGATTAAAATTAATTTAAATCTTGCTTGCTAGCCTACTATATAGTTAAGTACATATTGCTCACTCATTTCTCTAACAAAAAAAATAAAACCCTTATATTGCCATATTCTCAAAATCAAGTTCTAATCAATATTCTAGAACTTAGCCATCCATATGGTATGCTTTTTTTCCTTTTGATGATCATAGAGCTAATTTTGGCCTCAAATTACTAACAAATCTCAAGTGTGATGACCAAGCAAACCTCGTTTCCTAGCATTTTGGTGCATTAACTTACATAAAACATGCATGCATCTTGCTTAACCAAACCAATGAGTGCCAAGAACTTATTAATAAGATGATTATGAAAATCTCTGTATAATTTCGAAGTTGTTAATTTGGCCTAAAGCTGCCGCAGCCACAGTTTCATAACTTATATATTTATGGTGTCTAGCTTTCACGGTTTCGTGAATTTGATGGTGTGCATGCATGAATATTAATTCCAAGTTGGTACTATAGTTCAAATCTCAAGTTAAGTTATAAGAGGTAATTTTTTAATTATATATAAATCTTAGTTTTTAAAATGAGTAATAATAAATATTAAAGAATTATGATATGAAAAGGCTCTAAAAATGTACATGGATCGTTAGAGCAGGGAGACATGTAAATGAATTCTACTTTAGCGACGATTCATGAACATTCTTGTTATATTAATATATTTTATTTTATTAAAAAAAAAACACAAGCTGGCTAGTAGTTGATCATAAAATACAACAGCACAACAATTAAAACACATTGGTACTTTCAATGAGCAACAATCATTTTAATAATTGTACTTTATTATATAAGGTTATAACAATCAAAATTTAATATTAATAATAATTAAAAAAAAACTACAATCCTACAAGCTCACATACAGTACATAAAATTGTTATTTTCTTCCCCACATAAGATTTAACATCCAAGTTTTAGTATAACATAAGCAGAAAAATAAAAAATTAAACTTACTGCACACATATTAAAACAAAAAAATATGCTACCTGAGAAATTACAATGATCTTTTCAAAGATCACCGTGGATCGTAACAATAATCTACAATGATTTTTTTAAAATAATTTTTTAATTTTCTATATTATGATCATTTTTTTAATTTGATTTTATTAGTTTGTAATTGAACTTGATAATTTATCATTTTTTTAATTTGATTTTGTCATGTTGTATTAGTTTGTAATTGAACTTGATAATTTATTTTAATTATCTAGATACAGGATCTTACAATATTGATGAAAACATTATTGTTTATTTACTATTTTATTTTACACAATAAAATTTAATTTTATTAATTTAAAATAATTAAATATATGAGAATCAAATTTTAAATTTAAATAAATTTTTAACTTTTTTGTTATGATATCATCAAAGATTGCATGAGTAGGAGGAAATTCTTGTCCTTTTTATTCATTTGGAATTAGACTTGTATATTTATTTTTATTGCTGATTTAACAATATCGAAGAAAAATTAAAACACTTAATCAATGCTTGGTTTGCAAAATAAATTTAAATTATAATGATTTAAACTAATTAAGGCTTAAGAGACCACCTTACAAACAAAACTTTTTAAATTAAAAAATACCTAAGAAAATTTTTACTAATATATTTGAGAATTTACAAAGTAGTTTTATTATGATGATACTCATCAATCCTGAATCATTAAATTGTCAGGTATTAAGGTTATTTATTAATTTATTAAAATAATATTATTTTTTCTAAAATAATTCTTCGATGTGCTATGGTTGAGTTTAGATCATGGTGGTCAGTTCCAGCAAGTAACAAGTTAACTCTTGAAATTATTCAGGGTAGCATTTGTTTTAATTAAAATTAAAATCTAATTTAGACCAGACGTTGGATTGTGGATTCTTCAGTCCGGGTTTACCAAGTCGTACAGTGCCTTGAAACTACAAGTCGTTCGTGTAAACCTGCAGATGCTTGGCCACGTGGCGAAATCTAAGTTGTAATTAGTCACAGAAATAGACTTCTACCATAGGTCTCTCTAGTAAATCACCACTGCTAGACCTAGAATCCTGTGTTAGCTCTCTCTAGTAAATCGCCACTGCTAGACCTAGAATCCTGTGTTAGCAGAGTGCGGGAAAAAAAATGGAAGAGCTGAAATCAGCAATGGAAGCTCACTTGGACCAAATGGCGGATCTTGTCCAGAAACTCTCCTCGGAGCTCCGATCCGGATTCCGACCCGCCATTGATAATTTTATCGGTTTCTTCCATGCCATTGACTGGACGGTACTCTTTTTTTAGGACTTTTCCTTTTTCTGTTTTTGGGGTTTTATGATTAAATTAAATAAAAAAGAAGTTTTAATTTTTTGTTTCGGACAGGAACCTTGGCTGATGGGGCTAATAGGATTCCATCTCGTGTTGCTGGTACTAACAGTTGTTTCAAGGAAACATATTAACTTCCAGATGTGTCTGTTCCTTGTAGCTTGTAAGTTTTTTGTTTTTGAACTTAATTTTGTAGTAATGCTGTAAATGTGAGTGAAGTAGATTTTATTTTATTTTTTATTCAGGGACTGTAAATTTGGGTTAAATGCGGTAATGGGTTGTCAGATTTTTTTTAAAAAAAACAGGACTTCTTTTGAAATTTCAGTAAATATTGAAGCTTTTTTTTGTTGCTTTGCGCATTTTTGGAAATTGCGGGTTTTTTTTTTTTTTTGTGGTCTTAGATGGACATTTTGGGATTTAATGTATTGGGCAATTGCAATTGTTACTTTAGGGTTTTCTTCCTTTGTTCTTATATAACATGACATGAGTTGGTTTTTGCTTGTGATGTGGCTAAAATACTGTGCTTGTGTATAAACAATTGGTTTTTGTAGTAATGTGGCTAAAATATTGAGCTTGCATATAAACAGCGACTGTGTGAGAGATAAAAGATTGATGGCCTTGTATGAATATTTGGTTGAATTTAGTGAAGCTAATTTGTTTTCTGAAGTTGTGGATGGGTGTTAAGCATAGTGCTTCTGAAGTTGTGGATGGTTGTTAAGCATAGTGCTTCTATTAGTTTTGCAACATGGGAATGGCAGTTTAATAGTACTATGCTAGTCTGTTAACTATTGCTGTACATTGTGTTGCCATCCAATAATGATAATGTAATTGTGTAAAGATTCTCAGGATAGAACTCGCATTTAATATCGTAAATCATTAACTACCTTTTCTGCAATATGATTGATGTGTGAATCTTATTAAATTGGTGTCTCCAAATGTTAGAAATTTGAATTAAATTATTGTTACAGGCTTCAAGAGCCGTCAACTCAAAACCAGTTTTGTAGTTAGAAAGTTACCTAGATTCTGGAATCCTGTATTTATTTTGTGAATTAATTAATATTGAGCCACTGATGTCACCTAAACTCTTAGACTCTTAAAGCTAATTTTTGGGTCATCACTCAGTTTTTCCCAAAATCAACTTTCTAACTGTTGACCAACTAGTGCAAGAACTAATTCACTTTACTCTCCAATATAAAAATTTTATCAGCTTGTATTTTTGTGGGTGATGTCTGTCCTGGAATCTGAGTTCATGCTAACATGCATTGATGTTTTCTTCTATTGTACTTTCCATTCTCACTGCTGAAGTCCTTGGATATCTAATTTCATTTAATCATTTCATGTCATGTAGTGGCTGGTGTATACTTAGCAGAGAGGCTTAACACAGTCATGGGTGACCGCTGGAGGAGCTTTGCAAGCCAGAATTACTTCGATCCACATGGACTTTTTCTTTCAGTACTCTGGTCTGGGCCTCTTCTTATCATTGCAACCATTATTTTGGTGGGTGTTTGAAGTTACCCTTTTCATCTGCTTGCATTTTCTATATTATTTTTTTTTGCTATTCATTCTGACCCTATTATCTTTTTTGCAGATAAACTCCCTCTTTTCCCTGTGTTACATGATTGTTCGGTGGAAAAGGGCTGAGCTAAGACATCGAGCTAGGCTGGCTCGTGAAAGTAACAAGCAGGATTGATCTTCTCTTGCCTGCTGATCTGTGAGAAAGATCGAAGAGCCTCTTCTTCCCTTGAGGCAGTTTTGCAGTTACAAGTTATACTGGGGATACGTATGTTTTCTCTATCCTACAAAGTCATTTTCTTCTTCTATTCAGTTTCGAATGGTGTAATATATAACCCTGCCATGCACACCAGTGCATTTTACGGCCAGTGGATTCAATTAGTTAACAAACCTAAACTCTTACCTCTTTTGAATGCTTTGCAGCATAGTTTTTAAACCCGGCCCGGTGGCTGACCCGGTCCAAGGCCCGGGTTCCGGGTTTTGACCGGGTCACCGGGTTTTGACCGGGTCGAACGGGTCGGCCGGGTCAATTTCTATTTTAAAAAAAATTCAAAACGATGTCGTTTTAATAAAAAATAAATAAAAGTCAACGGGTTACCACCGGGTTTTTTACCAGGTTTTTCCGGGTCGTCCGGGTTTCCGGGTCAACCCGCCGGGTCGGCCGGGTCACGCCGGGTC